AACTCGGCATGACAGACATTATCCTGGGGTGCACTGGCCAACAGATTGACTGTGCTACTGCCATGTCAAAGGCTTAGTACCTCCCTGGTGGTGCAGTGGTTACACATTGGGCTGCAATCGAGTGGTCAACAGTTTGAAACCACCAGCGGCTCCATGGGAGAAAGACTGGGCTTTCTACTCCCATAAACAGTTACAGTCTTGGAAACCCATGAGGTGAGGGGGCGGGTGGGGGGTGAGGAGAAGGTCTCTGAGTCAGCACTGACTCGGTGGTGGTGAGATTGGTTTGGGTTGGAGTGTTTGTGGACACCCTGATCGGGTAGATAGAAGCATTCCCCACAAGGAAAGAAAGAGTTTGTGGGGTTTTGTAAAGCCTTGCTTAAAAAATCATCCCCAGGTTTGGTCTCCCCCAGGCACTCCAATCAGATAAGGGTCCATCTTTCATTGCCCAGGTCACTCAAGCCTTAGCCAAGCCCCTAGGCATAGGCATTAATAATTGCTGCATGCCGCCTATCACCATCAGTCAGCTAGTAATGTGGAACATAGGGATCAGCCAACGGATCTGGGTTCGTAGGCTACCAGTTGCTCTCCTGAATTTCCGCTAGAGCTGCTCCCTCAATAAACTCAAGCTTGGCTCTTTTTCAAAATAGCCTCCTTCATGATCCAGAAACTCACTCATTGCAACTAGTTAGTTCACTTGACCAAGTCCAACAATGGCTTATCAGGTATGAGAAACAGACTGTCCCTGGACTGGAAAAGTCTAATACTCTTGTTTTCCAGCCGGGTGAGGAGGTCCTGCTGTAGAAATAGAGACAACGTGCCTCGGGCGTCTCCAGGAAGGCACTAGGCACCCCCATCGGCAGGTGGGCTGAGGGGAAAGAACACACTAGCTCATGTCTCACAATTAAACTTCATGTCCCACAGGAACCCGAATTTGCAGGGGACACCTCTGACCCATAAGAATAAATACATCTGCAAGCCTGTCAAGGACTGAAGTTCCTCTTCTAAAGAAATGAGTCAAATCCCTCTAGGACTTCACCCTCCTGTTTGGGGTTATTTCTCCTGTTCACCCCTGGCCTCTACACTTTTATTCCTAATTTTAGGACCTGGCATATTTAGCCTAGTAGTGAAGCTGGTTTCCCCTTGTTTGTAGCAGTTTCTCTGAAAATTAATGACACTCCAGTTTTCAACCCATTCATCCCATCAGGCATGTGAGCTCAGCCTCATAAAACTTTAGAACAGCTCGTGAGAGATTTCTACTCTGCTGGGTAGGGAAGACGTCCCTTTGCCAGCTTGAGAGAGCCACAGAGCCAGAGCAGGTTACCCACATTCCCTCCTAATAGAGCATGGAGTCTCTCAGAGGGGAGTGAGACAGGTTAGGAAAGAGGCTGGATTCTTCCACCCTCATACTTTAAGGTCAGGTGACCTTGAGGAATGTCCCCAGGCCACCACAGATGGGCGCACTCACAGCCTGCATCCAGTTAATCTGTAAATGCGTGGCCTATCACAATAGTTATCATAGATCAGTTCCAATTTCCTTTCTCCACTGTTTGAGTTCCACTCCCCTACTCTGCACAATTCTGTATTTGGCAGCTATGATGGGCTTATTAACGACCTGTGATATGCAGATGACAACCCTGCTAGCTGAGAGTGAGGTGGATCTAAGCACTTGCTGATGAAGACCAAGGTCTATAGCCTTGAGCATGGATTACAACTCAGTGTAAAGAAAACTAAAATCGTTACAACTGGATGGATATCCATCACGATAGGTGAAAAGGTTGAAGTCAAGGATTTTTGTCTTGCATTCAGTAATTCTGCCCCATAAGACCTCTTTAAAGTATTGAAGAACAAGGATGTCACTTTGAGGACAAAAGTGCACCTGACCCAAGCCATGGTGTTTTCAATCGCCTCATATGCCTGTGAAAACTAGACAATGAATAAAGACTGCAGAATGGGTGCATTTGAATTACAGCGCTGGCAAAGGATACTGATCAACCAAATCCGTCTTAGAAGCACAACCCTCAATGCTCCTTAGAAGTGAGGATGGTGAGATCCCATCTCATGTACGTTGGGCATGTTATCAGGAGACCAGTCCCTGGAAAAGGACATCACGCTTGGCAAAATAGGTCACTGCAGAAGAGGAAGACCGGCACAGTGGCTGCAACAGCGGGCGCAAACATAGCATCAATTGTGAAGAGGGTGTAGGACCGGGCAGTGCTTCTTGCTGTTGTATGTAGGATCACCCTGGGTTGGACCCAACTCGACACCACCTAACAACAGACAGGTCACAGGGGCAGGAGCAACCAGACACCTGTGACCGGGGGTTGAACTTGCGACCCAAACCTGAGGAACCTGCTGTCCAGTGCATGCACACCATCCAACGTACCAGCCTTTGAACACCGGCCGCTGGCACATTGAATTACCACAATCCCACCCAGGTGGATTTCTGGAATTCCCCATCTCCTTTCATTAACCAACATCATTCAGGTCCTTCCCAGCTCGTCCCTTGTTAGAGCCCCCCCTTTTCCTTAGGGCGGAGACATGGTCTGCATTGCCTCAGTCTCCCCGCCCCTTTGCGAGGATCCCTGTCTGATCGACCGATGGCGCTAAGCTTGAGCCCATGCTTGTTATTCTCACTGGGCAGGGGCAAGCCTTCCACTGGCAGCAGCCTCAGTAAGGAACTGTCTGCCTCATGACTGTCTGATGATTTCTTTGGGTGTTCATGTTCTAATAATTGGTTGCATGGCCATGAACCCTTTGGACACCATTGTGCCCTTAGTCTGATGGTCCCCCTTATCTGGGTTATTTTTCTATGTGTCCTACTTAAGGCTTAATAAAGGAGTCGCTCTAAAAGATACTTTAATTTAAGGTCTTTTTCTCTCTTGAACAGAGGGATAAAATCATTATCAGCTAACATCACATGCTCACCAAAGAGAAGCAGTTCCAAGCATCACATTGGAGGCGATTTAATGAAATGTTTGACCAAATATAGCAGGCTTTTAAGTTAATTTTGTCATTGTTGTTTAAAACAAGGTCTTGGCCAGTGAGGTAGTTATTGTGCCAAGCTGGACAATAAACACATGCGGGGTTAATTGAGAGGAGGGATAAATGGCTTGGTGAGCCTCGCCTTTCTAGTTCTCAGGTCTCTTGCTTTGTGATGGTCGCACCAGGGTGCAGTTGCCTTAGCAGTTCCCTGCTTCAGCTTGCAAGGCTGACGTCCTGCAAGACATCCTCAAGGAGAAGCCACATGGACCTACCCCGATGCAGCCCTGGGTGCTGGAGCAGCCGTGTGGAGACCCCTGCCAGCACTGAGATGCTTACACATTCACTGACCCAGTTTCCCTCCTGCAGTCGGCGTCATCGCCTGTTTTGTGAGATGGAGGAGGACTTTGCGGATTGGTGTGGGATATATGAGTTAATGTTGGACCTGTGGGCTGGGGCAGCACTGGGTTGGGATGTTTCCTTGATGCACACTTAACCTTTATATAAAACTCTCTTATACACGAGTTTCTGTGGATTTGTTTCTCTAAAGTACCCAGACTAACACAGCCAGTTTTACTGAGGAAAAAGATGACAGGATTTGTCGTCCCCAGCTCTGGCACACTTATCACTCAATCAGCACCCCCTAGGCCAATGATGGCTGTGTGCACACTCTGCAGGACTTGCCGCGCCAGGCCCAATTCCACATCACAGCCACTGCAGTGACGGACACCGGTGTGGGCCAACGTGGGGCAGAACTCAATTTTGGATTTCCTCTAGGCGGGCAGTCTTTGGCCACGATGACCAGTTTCACTTTGCCCTGCCCGACCTTCTTTAGCGTCTGCTTCTAGCCCATCACTTATTTTCCACATTTCTTAAGAAGTTGGAGCCCGGAGTTGATGGACTCCAGCCACTTTTTCATCTTCTCTGATGCTCCCATCTTCCTGTCTTAGGTGTGGGGTGGCCCCCAACCAAGAGCAGCCGCCAGGATGGCCGGGAAGGGAGAAAGGCTTACATTGATTTTGTCTGGTCTGCAAATGATGTTATAAATATCCAGTGGCCCCTGGCAGAAAAAAAAATGTTCCCCAATCCTATTCATATACCAACACAAACACAACATTCTACCACATACAATCATGCCCACCTCCCACACATATTCATATACTGTCTACTCGTGTGCACTCACTTCCATCCACTCCAGCACACACACAGCCTACCAGCCAACGGCCCCAAACCTATCCTCAGGAGCACATCCACAGACCCCATTCACACAGATACTACACACACATAACCATGCATGGGACCCTTGACACAGGGCCAGCTCCCTTCCTGGATGGCAGGTTTAAATCATAACCACCACGGAGAGAGGAGTTGGGTGGTCTGTGCTTCTAGCTCTCTAGCTGCTACTTACATTAGAGTTTAAATTCTGAGCTCCTGTTTGCAGAAAGCTAAGGATGACGATGAAAGTCCCAAATCAATTAGCACAGTCCTCCCATGGACTAGGGCCTCAGGCAGTGTGCACTGAGAAGTGAATTACCTCCACCCCTCTACAGTCAGTCGGGGAGGGCAGTCTCTCTTAAAGGGTTGCCTGGGTGTCCTTAGTGAAGAACATCTTTCTGGGGGTCACAAAGTCATTAGTTATGCTACTAATTGCACCCCAACTGCCTTGGCTGGAAGTCACCACCAGGCCTCCAGAGTGTCCCGTTTAAGATGGAATGTGCTCCTTAAATTTTACTGGAAGTTTGGGGTCTCTTTTGCACCCTGGAACACACCTCTTGGCTAGTTTGACAGGATCTGGGCTCCTGGCTACCCATCGCAGGCTCTGCCCTTTCAGGCTACAGTCCTGCTTGCGTTCCACTGGGGGTGGGCTGACTTTGGACTTGTACTGGAGTTGGGGGTGGGGTGGAGCTAGTACTTGAAAGGTCTATTTTAGTGTCAGCTCCTTCACTTAGCCCTCCCCTGCAACCCTATCACTGGCCACCTGCTGCCGCCCGTCCTTGGTTTGGAATGTTGGCAGTTGCGGGGGAAGGGAAGCAGGGACAGACTGTTATAAAAGCTAGGGGTGCTGGAGCCCACAGCCGCAGGCTCCCATCTGGGGTCCCAAACGCTCTGCAGCCATGTCCACCCACCGCCTGGTGATCGTGCGTCACGGGGAGAGCACATGGAACCAGGAGAACCGCTTCTGTGGCTGGTTCGACGCGGAGCTGAGCGAGAAGGGCGCTGAGGAGGCCAAGCGGGGCGCCCTCGCCATCAGGGATGCCAAGATGGAGTTTGACATATGCTACACCTCGGTGCTGAAGCGGGCCATCCGCACACTCTGGACCATCCTGGATGGCACCGACCAGATGTGGCTGCCTGTGGTTCGCACCTGGCGCCTCAACGAGCGGCACTACGGGGGCCTCACCGGCCTCAACAAGGCAGAGACAGCTGCCAAGCACGGTGAGGAGCAGGTGAAGATCTGGAGGCGCTCTTTTGACATCCCACCGCCCCCCATGGATGAGAAGCACCCCTACTATACCACCATCACCAAGGTGCGTTGCATAGACCTGGGCTGGGGGGTGGGGGGGGCGGAAGACGGATGCCTGGGGTATAAAATATAGCTTTGCCACCCCAGGAACGTCGGTACGCAGGCCTGAAGCCTGGAGAGCTGCCCGCCTGTGAAAGCCTGAAAGACACCATTGCCCGGGCCCTGCCCTTCTGGAATGAGGAGATTGCCCCCCAAATCAAGGCTGGCAAGCGAGTGCTCATTGCTGCCCATGGCAACAGCCTTCGGGGCATCGTTAAGCACCTGGAAGGTGAGGCCCACCTGCCCTACCCCCACGCTTCCAGGTACAGGCAGGTGGTAGGACACAGGGGCCCCTCCTCAGGTCCAAGGGTGGAGCTTTCCAGGTATGAGTTCCAGGCAATTGATATACTGAATGTTGTTCTATAAAAAACACTCTCTTACTTCTGATCCAAGCCAGGGCTGCCCCAGGCCTGGGCCAATGTCAATTATAAATGGGTGGGGTGGGAGGGCTTAGTAGGCAGTTCTAACAGACAGGTTTGACTGTGGCAGAGTGGGGGGGCAGGGCTGCTCCCAGAGAAAGGTCCCTGAATCCACATTTAAAAGTTACTAGTATTGTCTAAATTAGCATCCTAATGACCTTCCAGTTTCCTGGCAGCCTTTTCTGGGTAAGGCCACATCTAGGGGAAAATGTGGGGGTGGGGACTGGTAAGACCTGCCTAGGGAGGCACCCACACTGGCACCAACCAGGTCTGCTGTCCGGGATCAAGATGTCTCTTTAAAGCTAACGCCACACCTCAGGGGTGGGAAATACTCATTTTCTGTCACTTCCCCTTCAGGACTTCCCACAACCCCCCAAGTTTAGGCCTGAGATCCAGGTGAGGGGTCTGGATCTCTCCCAATACCTTATTCTCCTGGACCCTCTCTGTGGGGCGTCTGGGATATCTGAAATGCCACCCTAGGAAACCAGGACTACCCCCAAGGCTGGGCTGGGCTGGCTTCCCAAAGGGTCCCCGCATTCAGTGGCCTCCCTCCCACCTTCTGTTCCCCGCTCCACTTGCTCAGGCAATCTGGACACTTGGCCAAGTAGCAGTCAGGGCAGCACCTCCCGACTACAGCACCGCTCTGTGGTCCAGTTAACACGTTTGACCTTGAGGGCATCCCTGTAGCCTTCCTATGGGTGTGTGTGTGTGTGGTTCTGCCGCTGCTGCAAAAGGTCACAGAGCTTATGTTCCCACACAAACACAACGGGGCACAAAGTGAAGGGCCAAAGGAAGCTAAGTCACTTGTCTCCGGCCCCAGGAATGTCCGACCAGGCCATCATGGAGCTGAACCTGCCCACGGGCATCCCCATCGTGTATGAGCTGGATGCAGGGCTGAAGCCCACCAAGCCAATGCAGTTCCTGGGGGACGAGGAGACGGTGCGGAAAGCCATGGAAGCCGTGGCAGCCCAGGGCAAGGCCAAGTGAGCGGTGGGCTCTGGGCAATAAAGTGACTCCCTGCACACTCGTCTCTGGGTCTGGCTGCCTGCTACCCACCTAGCCACCCCCACCAAAGGCATGGGGATCCCACCAACCAGGGTGTAGGGACCTCCTAAGCCTGGCCCACCAAGGAACTTGCCCATCGCAGGGGCTAACAGCCTATCTGCCCAGGAATCTCTAACACCCGTCAGAGATGTATGTGTACCTCTAAACTCTAGGAATTGGGAGGAGTGGAGTCCATGGGTTCTGAAAGTACTGTGGACCCCAGGCACCACAATACCTGGTTCTCAGGTGAGTGAGTGTAGGTTAGGTAGGGCAGGCCCAGATACACTTGAAGTCATCCTGTCCCTCAGAGCGAGCATTACCCTAGGCTGTGTCATGGGGCTGGGCCTTCCCAAAGAAGAATGGGCCATTATGAAAGAGGGCTGTGTGCACAGGGACCAAGAAGGGAGGGTGTGACCCTGTCCCATGTAGCCAGTTCAGTCAGTCCTCTTGGGAGGTAGCTCATGGCCTCTCCCTTAGCTCATCCCTAAGTCACCCAGGGGCTAATCAATGGTCTCAGAGGGGCTAAGCATGCCTATATGTACCCCATGCTTGCACCCACGGCAAAAAAGCACACCACAGCACCCCAGGAAGGGTGTGTCTCCCTGTGACGGAGGGGGATGGAGGCGGGCCGAGGCCTGTGCGGATGACACTGGTAGTCCTGAGTCCCAGAGCAAATTCTCCCCAGAGAGATGAGCCGACACAGAACATAGGAGGCAGGAGCAGGTGTGCGCCATTGTCATGTTACTTTTCCTAAAGCAAGACCTTGGATGATGCGGCTAGAGTTGATTTCAGAGGTGCACACAGCTCAGACAGGGAAGGTTGGTCCCACCGAGGGATGAGCTCTAGCTGCAGGGTTTTAATGCCTCCTTCAAGGTCCCTCCCCACCCCTCATTCACAATCACAACTGGGGTCAGTGAAGCAGCTCGGAAGAGACCCCTTGCCTGCCCTCGAAGGTGCCCAATTTGTCTTTGGTGGTAAAAACTCTGCTAAGCAAACTGCACCCTGAGCGCTGCAGCCACCACCCTTCAAAGCAAGAGAAAGGAAAAGGGCACTGCTGTGCCGAGCTCTGCACAGACGAGGCAGGCAGCAGCCTGGGCGTGGGGGCAACCTCCAGTGGCCCGTCCCGAGCACCCGTCAGGCAGAGGTCACCAAGAGCTGACCACAGGCAGGGCTCAAAGTCCAGATGAAAGCGCGTTTGAGAATCACCAGGTTATTGCTGCATGTGTGGGTTCCAAGACCTCAGCCTTATCCCGAGGGGCCTGATACGCATGGAATGACACATAGCACTCATGTCACCTCCTCTGGCAACCAGCAGGGCGGGACGGGGCTTCGGGCACAGCTTGCCCCTCATTCGATGAGCTCCACGTAGTTGGCAGGAAACATGCCGAAGTGGCCATCTGGCCCGAAGCCACGCCACCAGCCCTCATCGATCACCTCGATGCCTGTGATGAGGTTCTCGGGGTCAAAGGAGATCTCAGTGTCATCCGCTGCAAGGAAACGACAAACAGATGTGCTGCACCAGGCCTCCGGCCTGTGGCGGCCTCCTGCTGCCAGCACCAGGTATCTCCTCAGCTCTTCACCCTCTCTGAAACTGCTCCCCTGCTGGCAGGTTCGCCAGGGCCGGTACAAAAGGCAGAGTGTAGTGTAGCCCTGCCTCAAGCCCTCCTGCTCCCCGGGCCTCACCATCTCCAGAGGGCTCGGCCAGGGCTGGCCTGGGAAAGCAGACTCCACACCAGGCCCACTCCTCTGGCCCTATGATAGGTCAAGGGTCACTGAACTCCACTCACTGGAGCCTGTTCGGGCTTGGTTGTGTAGGACGGAGGTTCTCTGAGCAGTATTGGTGGGGCTGACTGGGGCCGGCTCCCTTCATCAGCCCTCTCCCCCTGCCCCTGAGTTAATTCTGTGCCCCGAGGGAGCCCTGACCTCTAGCTGTCACCCCTGGTCTGAGCAGGTGGGTCCCGATAGCATACCTGCCTGGTAGTCATACAAGGCCCGGGCACAAAGCCCCTTCCCCGGCAGCCCTGGTTCCTCCTTGTAATGGATGCTGTGCTCACAATCAGCATGGTCTTGCTGTGCCTGTCCAAGAACGTGGCGAGGAAGAAGAGCAGAACCATAAATACCCCAACCCCAAACCACCACCCCAAAAAAACCCAAACCCAGGCCTGTCCCTGGCAGAGTGAGGGCAGCGAAGAAGGCACAGCGCCAGAGCATGGGCAGCTTGGCAGAGCTTGGGAGCTGCTGGGGGCCAGACCCGGCAGCACAGAGGCCACCCAAGGCACAAGGGCCAAAGAACCGCTTGCAAGGACAGCCATGGCTCCCTCCCCAACTCACATTCTCCCATACAGTGAAGCCTGTCCAGACAACCGTACCAGAGATTTGTTTCAGAAAAGAAATGAGAGAATCTAGCACATGCAGAAATGCCAGGCATCCTGTGGTCAGTGTGGCCGAGGACCTTCCCCCAACCGCCCGCAGAAAACCAACCGGTGGGGGCTCCTCGTAGAGGCTCTCCTGCTCTGGGGGCTCCTCGTATTCGGCCTCCTCTTCCACGTGCACTGGAGACTGAGAGGCAAAGGGCACCGGATCCTTGAAATCTGACCAAAGGGGACAGCTTGCTCAGATTTGACCCACCGTTCCTTCCCCCACTTGGGAGGGATTTGGAAGAGGAGTTCCTCACCCCTGCCCGCCCCGCTCCAGGGTCTCCGGAATGCAAGGCCTTGCCTGTCCTGGATTTCAAGGAGGCGGGAATGGGCTCCCTGGTGAGGGGGGTCTCTGGTTGGGAGAGCTGTTTCTGCAGGAAGGGGCTCTTCAGCTTGCCTGCAAACCAACAGGTAAACTTAACACATGCAGAATCAGGCAGCTTGGAAAGGGAGACGGAGAGAATGCCCGAGGGCCCAAAGCCTAACTCATCATGCAATAGGGTGGGTGTCCCCCAGCGAGTCACTGGATGGGCCAGCCAGTCCCAGGCAGGCACCAGCTTCAAGCGTAGCCCAGTGTGTAGGTAACAAGCAATCCGCGCAGATCCACGGCGTCCAACCCCAGCTGGGCCAGAGGGCCTACAGTGCCCTCGGCCTGCCTAGCCCACAGAAACTCAGAAGTAGACAGGGGAGGAGCCACTGGCAGTTCCATCTGTTGGCCAGTAGCAGCAGCCCTGTGTCCTCTGTGGCCCCAGTGGTGACTGATACAGGCCAGCTGACCCTATGACCAGGGTCAGGGATTGAAGGGGCCAGGCTGGAGACGTCACATGGCCCTTACTTTCCCAACTCTCTGGAGAAGACCGAGGCCAACCCAGCGTCCAACCTCTCCTGGGCACTCCCTCCGGGGCTCAGGCTTACCTCCCAACTTCCAACCAGCTCTCGCCTTGCCTGCTCACGCTGAGCTCCTCAACTTAGGTTCTGATCCTCCCATCCGCTTTGTCCCTTGTCTAGTGGCGAGGCTCCTTAGTCTTACCCGGCTGAGGGCTGGAAGTGGTAGACATAGCCCTCTCCTTCTCTTTGAAGATGTCCCGTGGGTGCCTGTGCTGCTGACAGTAAGGCTCCTAGGATTGGAACGGGGGAGAGCAGGGCACGATAAGATGGGATTCAGCTCCTGGGAAGCATCTCACTACACAACCTCTCCAAGAGGACTCTTATGACTTGGCTGCGGTCAAGACCAGAGCACTGCCACTTCTCAGATCCCAGGTGTGTCCCAAGTTCAGATCTGCCCAAGCCAATTCCAGGACCATCCGTAACTCCCTGGCTCTCTAAAGTGCTTGGTTGGGGAAAAGGTAGTGTGACTGTCACTGCAAGTGGCCTCTACCAGGTTTTGGGACGAGGCCTCCATGGAGACCAGGAGCTTCCACGTCTGCCACAGGGACTTGGGGTGCAGCCAGTGCTCAGCAGCCACACAGAAGCAGCAACATCTTACCTGGTCTCCCCTCGTCTCAGAAATGACTTCTTGATGTTCAGGCTTCCTGTTGGGAAAGACAGTGAAGAGTCGACTTGGGCCTGTCTCCTCACCCATTGTGGAAGCTCAGGGCAGGTGCCACTAGGTAAGGGACACACTTCTCAGGGAGCTGGGCTCCACCCCCAGCTAAGGCTCAGGCTTAGAGGCAAGCTGATTGGGAGGGGGGGAGGGGACGGGACGGGACCACAGTAGATAGGTAGGCAGGCCCTTCCTTCCAACAAGTGGCCCCTGGGTCTCCTGAAACAGCAGGGCAGGGCTCACCTCTGGGGATGGGATTCCCGCTCCTGCTCCTGATAGCGCTGTTCTCTGAGGGCAGCCTCCCGCCGCTCCCGCTCCTGGCGCTCCTGTTCCAGCCGCTGCCGCTCCTCCTCTGCTCGCTGCTTCTCCTCCAGCCTGCGGTTCTCCTCATCCTTCTGCAGGAAGAGCTACACTGCCACACCCGCTCAGTCGCACACAGTAGCCCACACCATGTCGCCAGGCAGCCAGGTTCCACTAGCACACTGAAAATTAAAGCTATGGCAAACACTTGCTCCGTGGGCCTATTCCATAGAAACGGAAAGCGTGAAACATGGGAAGGCAGACATCCGGCACACAGCGCGTTCCCAGTACCGGTTAGCTCGTACTTCAGACTCCGGCCAGGCTCACCTCCGCTTTGGCCCAGAAGTTATCTTTGCCAACCCTTTTGATCTCGGACAAGGCGTTGGTCTTTTGGTACACGGAGCCCTGTAGAGGCAGAGCAGCGTGTTAGACTCCTAGCACCAGGAGGCTGGGGGGCGGGGTGGGAGATTGAGAGGAGGGCTGTGAGGACAGCGTGTGGTGGGCTTTCACAGAGGGAATGGCCCTGCCTGACAAGGAACCCGAGGGGCCTGGGCAGTATCCACAACATTGCTAGGGAACCAAGTTGCGCACTGGACAGAGGACAGAGGGGCGCTCAGCCTGTGCCGCTGGCCCTGCCAGACACAGGACGACCAATTGGTGGGCTGTTCCCAGTGACACTTGCAGGGCTCCTGCTTCGGCTTGACCCTGAGCACTTGAAGTTCAGCCAGAGCAGCTCCCGTGTGGGGCCTGCGGACTGCCACCGTGGGCATTTATCCCTGGGAAACATTGCCTCAACCATGAGCGCTGGGCGAGTGCCGGGCATTCGCCCCGCATAGCCTCACCAAATGCCATGTCAGGGATGGGTACCACACACTCCCATATGCCTCTTTGGGACTCAAAGCCAGGAGGGCGGGGGGGTGGAACTCACCACAGGGGCTTGGGGTCCTGCATCCTGGAAGCGGCTACTCTCTTTGTGGAAGTTGTAGTTCGCCCCTGAAGCCTTGGCCACCTTCTGCATAATGGACTCCGGCTCCACGTCCTCCTCAGCCCGGGCGTTGATGGTGACATGTGCTCCCTGAGGGGGAGTGGGCACAGATGTGAGGAAAAGGTGCCCGACCCCAGAGCAGGCAGACCCCGTGTGCGGCCCACCCCGGCTGCCTCTCTTCTCAGGAGCTCCAGTGTGAGCGCACTCTTTTTTCTGCTCTAGCCACAGGGAGGGCACCCCGCCTCCCCCCATAGCCCCACACAAAATGCCTTCCAGGGGCACTGTGGAACAAACACATGTTCTACAGACACAGTTCCCATGAAGAGACCAACACACGGCCGTAAAAGCCTAGCATGCCTTGCTAACTGCCAGCAAAAGCAAACTGACCCTGGACAAGTGACCCACCAAGCTTTTTACACAAATGTGTTCAATTAAAAATGGAGGCAGTATGACCGACAGGTGTGCAGGGAAGCTTGACGAGAATGCCCATACGGTAACCATGTGACAGGGTGGTTTGCTGGGGCAGCTGCCTCGTGCAACCCCCCACCAACACCCTGCCCAGTGGTTCTAGAGTAACAGACGGGGTGCTCCACGCTCAGCACGGCCTTGCTGCAGTCAACGGACAGGGACAAGTCCTTCTCCCTCGCTCACTCGGGCCAGAACCTGGTCGCCCACAGGCTGCTGGTCCAGATGGGGCAGCCTCTGACGCCCTCCACCAAGGTGCCACTCCTGCCTCCCGTGGCTCAGCTCACCTTCAGGAAGCTGGCCATGGCGCTGACATGGTTCGCGCATGCTCCCTTCCGCACATCATTCACGCCCTCACCAGTCTGCAACACAAGGACGCCCAGCACGACCTGTAGTTCCCAGCTGTGACGTGGGCCTTCTGCCCAAGACCACCATCTCCCATGGGTTTTGACAGCTTCTCCTTGTTCCAGAGAACTGGAACGGCCACAGCAGAACACCCGGCACCACGGCTGGGGGCTGGTGTCCACGGTGGGGAGGCCTCCTCTGAATTGCTCTCATCTCCACTCTGGGGGCTGGCTCGGCCCTATTCCAGCATGCCTCCCTCCCCAACCCCCAGAACTCATGGCCTGCAGAAGATCCCCAGAGGCTCTCAGCACTTCGCTGGGGTCCTCTGCTCCTTAGACTAACTTTCCCAAAGGAAATGAGGGAACCGTATTCTGGAACTATTCTTGCCCCATTCACAGGAAGTCATTCTAGGCTTGGAGTATGAATTCTGTGCTAGCTCATATATTTTTCAGGGAACAACGAGCTAACCGATCATTCTGCTAGTTCATCAGCATCAAGTTGTCCTGTTGACTTCTGGGTTCCATCAGGAAAACCATCTGCTCTGAAAGCCCAGCCCTCCTTGAAAGTCACCCCCACAGGCACAGGAGGAAAGCGCAAGTGGAGCCCTCCCCGACCACACTGGCTCCCTCGGAAGACCACTCTCTTTTGGGAGACCAATCGGGGAGCAAGGGCAGGGATGTGTCTTGTTCTCTCAGTTCCACATACCCAGTTGATGAGGACAAACTTGGGCAAGCCGGAGTTGGGGTCCTTTACCCTGCAGAAGGCATACATCACCTTCCCGCTGTTTAGCTCCTCCACCAACTCCTCCAGGCCCCCCTCTGTAGCAGAGGCACAAGAAGAGGGTCAGAGGCAGTCCCGCCCACCCCCATTTCAGAGCAGAAGCCAAGCCTGATTAACCAGAGCTTCGTACCCTGCATCAGTGGTACCTGCAGGGAGCCCTGGGTTGCGCCCCCACCCCCACCCCCAAACGGATTTATCAGAGCTGGCTGGGACCCAAGAGTTCTTATTTATGACCAGCATCTCAGGTACACACTAGTTTAAGAACCATTCCACTAAATTCCCCAGTGATTTCGGATATAAACAAGTATTGTTTTGTCACAAATCAGCCACTGGACTTTCAAAAGGAGGGTCTCTACTGATCCCATGAGGCACTGCCTCCAGCACAGGGAGTGGTCAGAGATGTCGACGGGAGAATAGGGGGCAGGGACGGAGGTAGGGCGTGTTTTGGTGGCAGAACCTTCAAGAGCAGGGTGTATGCCCCCACTGTCTCCTATCACCCCTCGCCCAGCCTTCTTCACGGCCTGTGCCTACTTCTACCCAATGCTGGCCAGGAGACTTGGCTCATGGTTCTTCACAGGCCACTGCCAGGCTGTGCACACAGCACAGCTCCCAGCAAGACTTGCCCCCCATGATGGCAGCCCGGGGTTCTGGGCAAGGATTCCACACCAACACTCCACCAGGCCCTTGTCTGCCTTCTCCTTTAAACCTCCCCACCATCTGGGCTGGAGCAGCAGCCCCTCTCCCCGTGCTGGCACCCACTCTTTCAGGAGAGCGCTTTGTCTGCTCCAGGTACATGATTGCCTCAGCTAGACTGCCAGGCCATGGTACAGTGACTTCGCATTTCTAGCAGAGCAGCTGGGTATATGCAGAGCCTGGATTATGCCTCTACTGGGGGAGGCCAACACTGTGTCAGAAAAGCCAGGGCTGGTCAGGCCCAGGTGGCTCCCTGGTATGTGGTGGGGAGGGATGGAAGGGCAGGCTGGGCCTGAGCATGCCTCCTGCAGGCGTTTCCAAAAGTCCCCTTAGAACCCTGTTCTACCACAAAGCAAAGCAAGGAGTTCCTCCACCCCAGAAGCCAGCCCCATTAGCTCGGAGTGTTCTCTTCCAGGACAACAGCACAGGCTCCGACAGCTGGGGAGGGAGGCTAGAGGAGGGAGGAGCAGAATGGCAAGAAGGAAGTGCTGAGAAGCCCAAGTAGGGACTAAGTCCAGGAAGGAGGAGCCCCAGTGAAACACAGGGCGAGTGTTTCTTCTGCTCCCCCCTTAAGATCAACCCCAAGGGGAGTGCATGGCCGGGGCAAGGCAGCTCTGGTTGGCCAGCATCACAAAGAGGGGGTTTGGAGACTCAGGGTCAAACTTTTGCCCCAGTTTCTAGGTTGTGACTCTGATATTCTGAGAGAGTCTGTCTATCTGTCTATGTGTCCAGAAGACCAACAGGGCTGCCCCTGTTAAGTGGGAAGCAGTACAGGACTTTGTTGGGTAGATCTTCCTGGAGCGTGGGCAGTCTGCCCCACTGCAGACCCTGCCCCAGGGCCTCCATCTCAGCTGTGGACAATAAACCTTGCAGAAGAACATAGCAAACACGAGAAAAGTCCCACAGGCAACGCAGCTTGTCTCACCCCCACCACCTGCCTTCGTGACAGCTGAGCAAGCCCGGGTGTCCCTCACGAGTGGAGCGAGGGCTGCTCTTGGAGAGCAGGGCAGGGAGGAACAGTCTGCTCTAGGGCCTCAGTGTACTGTGATTCAAACTGGTAATCTGAGTGGGAGGCAGTCTGCACTTCCCACAGCTCGGGGACCACAGGACGTCGCTAGAAGAGAGCTGGCATTGTCAGAATGGGAACCAGGCATTCTCTGTGGCTGCTCTGGGTCCTACACTTTGCATATTGTTCAGGGACATTCAATGTTCTCCACCGGCGCTGCCAGCTTCCGAAGCCTTTCCTCGGCTCTCAACTGAGGGGATTAAGTGAAAGGCTCACACTTCCAAGGGCAAAACCCCACCGTTGCTGCTTCGGAAGGCGTGCAGCCCTGCCACCAGACATGGGCTTCCCAGGAAGAGTGTGGTCCTGGCTTCCTGCCACCACCTCCCGACAGAGGCATTCTGGGTCTCAGAGTCGAGTCCCCCTGTGGCTCTCCCACATGCAGCACAGCGTCTTCCATCGATTCTTATTCCCTTTGATATGGGATCTGTTCTCCAACTTCAATAGTTTCTGCAGAAAGACTGAGGAGCTGCTCAGCAGAGTACAAACAGGTAGGTCTCCAGTTGGAGAGCCATGCCATCCCTGGACACCCCATGGGAGCCACTCTTCTGCCTAGCACCTGCTTTAATCACATGAAGATAATTAAGAAAGAAAGGGGACGAGACTTTCCTGGCTCAAAACTCCTGTGCAAACATTTTACAACTGGCACAACAGCACAAAAAGCACACAAAAGGGTGACATTCAAAATGCCATGAACGTCAAAAGGCCATGTACACTCCTTTGGAGAGACAGATATCAAGGATGAAAATGAGGCCCCAGGCAGGACCCCAGGACTAGCTCCACAAGGTCCCAGACTCCACGATTGGCCTCTAACATCATCCCTTGCCCAGCCCTGCTCCCAAATAATGCAGCGCACACTCCCAACTTTACCAAGCCCCTCTCTCTGTGGGATCCCTGTCTGTATGGTGGAAGCCCAGGCCTGGCTCCAGGATCAGTTCCACACTCAGCTCTCCTGAACCTGAAGCCCATCTCTAGGTTCCCTGGTCCTCAGTGCTCCACGAGCCAATGAGGTGACCACACACCCACCACAGCCTGGCCCTGGACAGGACTGCCTGAGGGCTGGACAGGCTTGACTGGTTCCACAGCCCACAGTTGGCCAAAGGTGACAAGAACGGAAAGTCTGGGATGCTTGGTGGGAGAAAGCTGTGGCTCTTACCCCAGTTCTTACACCAAGTTTCTGGTGGCCACCAGGGCTGGCTTTATACACAGAACCAGGGAATGAGCGGGGTCTCTAGGTGGCCACTTTGAAATTGGGGAAATTCAAGGGCACCATATGCACTTGACATCTTGGGCCTTGAAACTCCTTCCATTTGAGGCCACAAGCCCTCACTGCTAAAAGAGGCAAATGCTGTCAGTGTAAGCACACCATGAGTGACATCTTGGTCCTGAGTCCCTCTCCTTCCACGGCATGGCTGAAAATACCCAACAACAGGATGCGTAGCCAGGGGTCAATGCTCTCTCTGCAGATGAGCTCTCGCACACCCCAGTTCCCCTCTGCTCCCACCTCCTGATGCCCCAGAGAGGCATTTTTCTTCCTCCCTGGGCTATACTTACCTCCAGTGCCAGCCACGCGAATATCATTGCTATTGCCTTCGTAAGTAAAGAGAGCCCTGGAACAAAACACAGTGAGCTGTGTAAACAACACCGGGTCTATCTATCGGCTGCCTGCTACACCCCACCACGCCCAGGGCTCATCTGCAGTTGGGCACCCTGTAGGTGGTGCGCCCTCATCCACGAGGCCTCCCAACAAATTGGGCGAGGCAGACCTAAGCTACCACCTGAGCAGGGGCACACCTACAACCACTTGGCAGGGTCACAGAGCAAAACGACTTTGAGGGAAAGGTGAATAAAAGCGGTGCGGTGCGATGGCCACTGTGAACACATTTCCATGAGAAGCACTGTAGGGGAATTCTGAAAATGCTCACCTATTACCAGGTGTATCCATTTCAACTGCCAAAAGGCACTGGCCTAACTTTAAACCCAAAGCACCCACCATGAGTAGCCCAGAGAAGCCTCCAGGAGGCCCCAGGAAGCACTCACGCCTGCTTAGCAGGCTGTCCTGTTGTGGGAGAGACCAGAGAGGCTGGCGCAGCAGGTCTCG